CTCCTCCTCCTCCTCCTCCTCCCTCCTCCTCCTTCCTGGCGCGCGTCGCGGGGGGGTCCGAGCCGCACTCTTCCCGCAGCCGCGGCCACCAGGGCGCAAGGGCCCAGGGCTCGGGCCACCGCGGGACAGGGGGCAGGAACGCAACGCACAACGAAAACAAAGAGAGGGCAGAAAGAGCTGGAAAGGAAACGGGCACAGAACGTCGGTGCACAGGGCTTGCGCCAAACCACGAAGACTCCCCGGTCGCCCATGTGTTCCGTTCTCCTCATCCACGCCGCGGTCTTTTTGCTTACCCCCCCTCCTCCATCAGCAGTTCTTCCCCTCCACGCCGCAGTCCTTTTGCTGTCCCTCCTTTTGCTGTCCCCCCTCGTCCATCTCACCTGCCTAGCGATACTCGTGGATGCATACGGTTGGGCCCCTTGACATAATAAATATTTGCGTGCCGATTGGCCACGGTTCCTGATGCAACAGAAGGCCCCGACCATCCGCGTCCCGTTGTGACGCAGTCTGAGTCAGAGAACACCGCGGAGGCGTTCAGGCTTTCTCGCGCTCTGTCATGTAGATGGCTTTTTTTTTCTGGTGGATGATGGTCCTTGCTGTACGGGTAGTCACCCCATATGCACTAGCAGTCGTCCTCAACCGCTCCACATTCGCATAGGCAGCACGTCTAGAAAGCATATGTTTTCCTATGTTGTGTCCACGTGACCGATGTAGCTGCGGCTAGTAGGGCCTCGCGTCGCTGGCGTTTACCTCTTAGTCTCCAGCACACGAAGGTGACGGGTGAGGTCGTAGACGTCGGCGTCGTGCTCTAAACCCATTGCCTGGGCGATGGTGTAGCATTGCCTTACATTGCTTGTTTTCCATATGTATCGCGATGGTTTTGATGACGTCGGTGGGGTCGCCATGTCCGTCGTCAGGCACGAACTGCCTCTCATCGCCTGCTGGGTCGAAGCATGTGTCTGCCTCGCGCGGATGTTTATTTCAGTCCCCACAGTGGAAGAAGAAGAGAGCCAATGATGCCGTGTCATTGTTGCCATCGTCGTCGGAGGATGAGGAGGAGGAGGGGTGAGGGAGAGGAGGGGGGAAGGGATGAGCAACCGCAGCAGCAGGAGGCAAGATGGCGCAAGGGAAGAGAAGGCGGAGCAGAAAGAGGATGCGGGGAGGAGGAGGAGGAGCAGCAGCAGCAGGAGCAGAGGCTGGATGTGGAGGGCGAGAGGGAGAAATAGATGCAACGAAGGAAGCGCGGGAGGATGTAAGGGAAGGGACGGAGGGTAAAGGGGTTAGGAGGAGAAGGTGGAGGAGGAAGAGAGGGGGGACGATCATGAGGAGGTGCAGGAAGAAAAGAGGAAGGTAAGGAGGAGGAGGAGGAGGAGGAGGAGAAGGCAGGGGAGGAGAGAAAAAGTGAAGTGGAGGTAGGGAAAGAGACGGAAGGAGGGAGGGAGGGATAGATGGATGCGGGGGAGGTACGAGAAGGATAAAGGAAGGGACGGGAGGGAGGAGGAGGAGCAGGAGGAAGCGGTGGAGTAGGAAGAGCAGGGGGCGGGAAGGAGGCAGGGAGAAGACGAGAGAAGAAGGGAGGCGGAGAAGGATCAGCAACAGCATGGGCGTGAGGAGGAGGTGGACGGGGGAGGAAGGCACTCGTGCGAGCGGGAGACCGAATAAGGCGAACAAGCCCGAAGGCGTTTCGAAGTGCATCGCAGCTGATGCCGAAGCCTGAATTGAAGCGCACAGAAATCAGGCGATCGCAAACATGGATTAAGGGGGCGTGGATTAGCGACGGGTCCCGTTTCCATAGGAAATCGCAGATTTCCGCCGCCGAGCGAGGCGGCACCGGCCGCGTTTTGGGGACGGCACCTCCCCCGATCCATGGATTTGGCGACCGCGCGCCAAATCCATGGATCGCTAATCCATGTTTGCGCGCCTCCGAAGAAAAGGGTTACATCTTGCAGGCTCGATCAATAGCACATCGTGCAGCGGTGCTGCAGCCCCCCTTGGCCACTCCCATCGGCAGGGTTACCAGCTCCGGTGATGGCGGCAACGACAGTGGCAGTGGCCGCCGCGCCTAAGCTTGGCGGCGTGCAAAGCCAGATAGCGAGAAGTTCAATATCCTCTGAACTGCACGGGGGAGCAGCAGCAGCAGCAGCAGCGGGGAGTGGAGAGGAGGAAGAAAAAAGAAGGAGGAGAGGGATGAGGAGGAGGCGACGAAGGAGGAGGAGATCGAGAGCAAAGAGGAAGAAGAGGAGGAGGAGGAGGAGGGCGAGAACGATGAATGGTGAGGAAGAGGAGGAGGCGGACCAGTGCAGGCCCAAGAGTCACCACGTTGCGATAGACCCCCTCTCCAAGTTCCCTCTTCAGAAGTCCCTACGGGGATCGACTTCCACTGAGGGGAGTGCCCCGTCGGCAGACAGCCGCTTGAAAATCCTGGACCGTGCCAGAACACCATTCCTAGGACTTCCACGCTGCGAATGGATGTTGTCATTGCGTCCTGACGACTCTGAGCCGCGCCAGAGCACCACTCCTGGGGCTCCGACGCCGCGCATCAGCGTCACGGCTGCGCCCAGGCAGTCCCACATCGAGCCAAAATAACACGCCGGGGACGTCCACCATGAGAATCTTCGAGACTGCTGTCAGCTCGTTGGGCGAATGTGCGCGGCGCTTTCGCGAGAGCCACGTCTTGAAAAGGTACCGCCCTCTATATCAGTGAAGATCTTGCATTTGTAAGACGACTGTGCGAAGCGCTGAGTCGAGAACCACATGTTGAAAACGCCCCGCCCTCCGTCCGTGAAACTGTTGCACACTCCCAACTCAAGGACCCTAAAGCGTGAGGAGGTCTCAAGCGAAACGCCCGGCCCGCCCAACCAACACGTTTCGGGGTGCGACAGGGGAGGAGTGGTTTACATAAGGACGAGGAATTAAAGAGGAAGGAAGGGGGGAAGAGGAGGCTGGAATTGGGAGGACGAGGGCGTTGGGAGGGACGAGGAATTTGAGAGGAATTGGGAGGAGTGGTTTACAGAGGGACGAGGAATTTGAAGAGGGATGGGGAGAGGAGGCTGGAACTGGGAGGGCGAAGGGCGCCGGGCGCAGGCGGGGCCTGGGGACTGGCACGGCACCGACACCACGGTGATGCTCCGCGGCTTCCCCCGCAGCTACCGCCGCGAGATGCTGGTCGACCTGCTGAACACGTCGGGCTACTCGGGGCAGTTCGACTTTGTCTACATGCCGATGTGCCTGGAGTCTGGCGCCTGCTTCGGCTATGCCTTCGTGAACACGATTGAGCGGGCGACCGCGGTGCACCTCCAGAGGTTCTTCGACGGCCTCGCCACCGCCCCGTTCTCGGCCTCGCAGCCCTGTTCGACGACAAAGGGCCGACTGCAGGGGCTGGACGCGAACATCAAACAGTACCCCTGGCATCGCTCGGACGTGTGCATTTTTTCTCGGCGGAACCATCGAGGACCATCCTGGACCATCGAGCAAAAACAAGCACGCACGAAACCGAAAAGTGCACGGGAAATGGACGCCCGAGCGACGGCAAGGTACCAGAACAGCCCCCTAATGTGCGAGTCGGTGCCGGATGGCTTCAAGCCAGTGCTGTTCAGGGATGTCCGGGGTGCGCAGAAAGGGGGTGGGGCAAAGGGACGGCCTTCTTGAAAGCCCTTGGTCACGAAGACCCCTGCCTTCTGAGAAGGCCGCCCCCTCGCTCGCCGCCGCCCTGCGCGCGCCGCCGAGGATGGAGTGCGGTACCCTTTTCCGAAGCCGACGGTCTCGGAGTTGAAGAAGCTCAGGCTCGGGGATGGACAGACCCCCCTTTAGTAAAACGTGGTTTAGTGAAAACGACCTGAGGCCCAAACCTGGCGGGCGCAAGCCTGGGAAATAACGGCCACGGCGCCCCCTCGAGAACCGAAAACGGACAATTCACTACTCGACGTGTCACTGTTGGGGGGTCTGTCCACCCCCGACAGGCTGACCCGCAAGACGAAGCTTGGGGCGAGCACGCGGGCTCGTCCCAGGCTTCTCCGGGGCGAGTCCGGAGGAGGCGCGGCCTCGGACAGGTCTTGAGGCGCGGGGCCGCTGGCCTTGCGCATGCCATGGCACGAGAGGGCAGTTCGTGGGGGGGGCTTCGGCCAGCCTGCAGTAGAGCTTGGACTCCGCGCTTCTGGGCCGAGATTTCGGTCCAGGGCCAGGGGACAGGCTTGCCACGACCGCTCTGCAGCATCCAGCCTTCCCTGCTTTTGGCGCGAAACTCGCTTACCATGCGCAAATGGATCGGCAACCTGTTACAACAGCGCCGCCTATTCTGCGCCTGCCCGTTTTGTGTCACAATCTCTCGTTTAAACATGGGTTTGCTTCTATGTGTGTTTCGGTGTCGCTGCATATGCATGTTCTCTTGAGCTGCAGCGACAAGCGGGGATCACTTGTGGTCCTGAGGCGTTTTTCAATGCTTGCAGGCACAAGCAGTCATTGTGCTCTGAGTATCCCTGCCGACGCGGCGCTTTCAGGCGGCTCCACGCCCCTCCACAGAGCCCAGGGACCCCCAAAGCGAGGCTTCGAAAGCCCATCTTTGGACTACCTGGGGCCCCTTCCGGGGCCCTCTGTATTCGCTCGTCGGCGTCCCCTCTGCCCTCATCTCCGACCGAAAAGTTGGGAATTCCAGAAACCTTGCCCCCAGCCTGAGGAGTTCCATACTCCAGATTTCGTAATAAAAGGGAGGGGGTCTGGACCCTCCAAGACAAGCCATTTCAGACCCCCCCCGTGGGAGAACCCTCCAAAACATCGTCCCCAGACCCCCCCAGGCCCTCCAAGATAGCCTGGAAGAGACCCCCCCCGAAATGAGACCCCCCTCCCTCTATTACGAAATCTGGAGTAGGTTTTTGACTGGCGTGGGTCAGGCGTGGGTTCTCTTTGGGCTCTCTTGGCCGTTGTCGGGCCATCCTCTAGTAATTTGGGAGCCTCTGGAGCCCTCCTCGGCCGACCTCTCAGACGGCCCCGCGCTCGCCCCCAGAGCCCCAAGCCACTCCTCAGGAGGTCCCGCATCCCCACAGGGGAAAGGGTGTTCACAATGGGGGCCCTCTCCCTTGGTATCCACGGCGCCGCGCAATGTCTATGGTCAACGTCTTCGGAGTCGACCAGAACCTCAGCGCGCGCGTGGCGATCGCGTGCTTCTAGTTGCGCATGACATGAGGGACGGGCGCCATTTGGCACTTGCAGAAACCCTGGTAGATAGCTGAGAGGCATTGTCACTCGCCTCGGCGCGTCGCAGGCACGGCGGCGGATTCTACATTCGGTGGTGCGGTGCCCACAGAGTGCGCAAAGTGTGCTTACCTGCGACAGCGCTGCATTTCTTTACGCAGCATTCCACGCTCCAGAAGTGTGCGTTGTGGGGCCAGGGCAACTGTGCAGCCCCCAGGACGTAAACTCATGCGAGGCGTTCGGCCGAAGTGTTCCAGACACGACCAGATTTGCTCTTGGTCATCATCGTCGCCTCCATCCTCGTTGTCATCATCGTCATCGTCATCATCACCACCACCACCGCTGCCCCAGTCATCATCATCATCATCATCAGCAGCAGCAGCATCACCATGACCATCACCATCATCAGTATCATCAGCATATACATATTCGATTTTTTTATCATCATCATCATCATCATCATCATCATCATCATCATCGTCGTCAGCATCTACAGCATCATCGTCAGCAGTAGCAGCACCATCATCAGCATCATCAGCATGCTCACACTCAACTTCTTCATCATCATCGTCGTAAGCATCATCAGCATCATCATCATCACTTCTCCTTATCCTCCTCGTCGTCGTCAGCGTCTCCATCTTCATCGTCGTCATAACCATCGTCCTCAACTAGGAATGCGGGCGGCATCGAAATCTCGCTGGTGGGTATGTGGCTCCCGGGCCCCTGCCTGGGAGCATCATCGAAGCTCTGCCCCTGCCTCTGGCTCCCAGGGCATGGCATCCTGGAAGTGTGTTTCCGGCGGCAAGTCCCACGAGAGGTATCGTCGATGTCTTGTTCTGGCATGTGGCTCTTACGCGTAGACCTCCTCGAAGCCAGATTGGTGACAAAGGCTCGGGCGAGGTGGTTCCGACATGGTTGACTCCCGTGCGGGGGATCTTTGACGTTATCATTGGGGGGCTGTACAGGGTTGGACCGAATGATGTGCAAGGGTTCCTCCTGGAATTTGCTGCATCCACATGACAGTTTTGCCCGCGCAGCGCTTGCACGAAGAGGCTTGAGAGAGAGAACGCGCCCGTTGAGCAGTCCCAATAGGGGAGGGGTCCCCCCTTAGCTGCCCCCCTCTTGGACCTCTCCTGCCCGAAGCCACCCCCACCCTCCTTTTTGTTCTGCCCCGCGGAAGCTACCCCCCGCTCCTCCTCCTCCTCCTCCTCCTCCTTCGCCCTCTGGAAGCTATCCCCCCTCCACCCCCCCTTTCCAGCGGCAGGGAGAGCTCACCTACCCCCCCCCCCCTTCTCGAACCCCCCGTGCCAGAAACCTACCCCCACCCCCTCCCCCCCTTTCCTCTGCCCTGCGGAAGTTACCCCCCCCCTCCTTCCTTTCGCGCTCCAGTAGCTACCCCCCCCTTTTTTGGAAGCAGGGGGGGGGCTTAGCTGTCCCCCCCACTTCCTTGGACCCTCGCCCTGCCTTTAGACCCCCGGAAGTGCTCCACGCGGCGCACCCTTTCGGAGGTTTGGGCCGTGTGCGAATTTCGGGTCGTCGCGAATATCTTGGTCACCATCAGAAGTTCCAGTTGCAGGGTCCTGGATTGAATGCCAGATGTTCGGGCTTGTGCCGTGAAAAACTGGCCACTGGTTTGAATCCCGCACGCCCGTTGAATAGAATCTCGAGAGGACGGCCATCTGCCTCTTACAGCAGTCTTGGAGCCATTAGGGGCCTGTCTGACACCTCCGGTAAGCAATTTGGCAAGAAAGTTACATCAATCGAGAAACTTAATGGGTTTAATGCGTGGGCTTGAAGTCGATGAAGCAAGAGGGAGCATATTGAAGTTGGTGGAAGCGAGTAGCGGCAAGTCCACACAAGTGGAAGCTGATGGGAGCAAGTTCAAGCAAGTGGAAGCACATGACAGCATGTGGAAGCTAAGTGGACCCATTCGGAGCGAATGGAAGCCCAGGGGTTCAGCAAGGGCAAGCAGTCAGTCGTAGCATTTGCGAACCGAACTCGTGACGAGCCCAGGTCTGATCGGGACTAGTCGCAGCCGACGGAAAATTACGACGCACCAGACAAGCCAAGATTGGTAACCCATCAGTCGAAGAAGAACAAAAAAACATAAACATAAACTTTTGGCGCTCCGCGCGGATTTCTTGGACCCGCGCTGGGCCCCCCCGGCGGCGCCTCCGGCGCCTCCCCTGGCGCGCTCCGCGTGCCAGGGAGGCGGGTCCAGCACAGATCCAAGAAATCCGCGCGGCGCGCCAAAAGTTTATGCTTATGCCGTTTGTTCTTTCCTAAAGAAGCCAGTGGCGACAGGCCAAGATTGGCGATCTCCATCAGAACTCCCAGCGCGCCAGGGCAGGCGGCCACTCGGGAGCGGGCGAGGCTACCTGCGGCGAGTGCAAGTCCTGGCTTTCATGAGCGAGCGGCCGCTCGGGGCTGGGCCAATGGCGGTCATCGGAGTCTACGACTCGCAAAGGGCAGGCGGACATTCGGGACTGTCTGTGGCTAGTGGCCTGGAGCGTCTCGGAGCTGTCTGCGGGCGCCTTGGGAGGAGGAGTAGGAGGAGGAGGAGGAGGAGGAGGCGGAGGAGGAGGAGGAGGAAGGAGGAGGAGGAGGAGGAGGAGGAGGAGGAGGGAGGGAGGAGGAGGAGGGAGGAGGAGGAGGAGGAGGAGGAGGAGGAGGAGGATGAGGGAGGAGGAGGAGGAGGAGGAGGCGGAGGAGGAGGAGGAGGAGGAGGAGGATGGGGGATGAGGGCTGGAGGAGTGTGGAGCGTGCGCGTCATGAAGGTGGCGTTCGCCTTCCCCTCTGGGCGAGCCGCCGGGCCGCCGAACCGCCACCACGGCCTCGTGCCTGGAGCGTCTCGGGGCTGTCTTGGGACCATCTTGGGACGGTCTTGGATGGGTAATCCGCAATCTCGCGCTTTTTTCGGGGTCGTAATGGCCAGCCCTTGCGCAAGACCAGACTACCATAGCCATGTTTTTTTGGTTCGTCAGCGGCGAGGCGGCGAACTCCGCTCCAGCGAGAAGCTATGCAGGGGCACTAACTAGCGAATTGGCCGGCGAGCAAAGAGGAGGGGGACGGCCGAGAGGAGGAAGGGACGTTCAGACGCCGAAAGGTTCGACGATGGAAAGCCGGGGGGGCAACAGCAGCCAGGCGCGCAGGGCCAGAGCGCGGTGGGCGGCCGTGGCGAACCACGGTGGCAAGGGTGGCGGGAGGGCGGCAGCCAGCGGCGCTTCCGGGGGTCGCAATGGGACACCACGAACGGCGTACCGCGGCGCACCGAGGAGAAGGCACAGCACCGAGCCGTGCGGAGGCAGGAGCAGCGGCCAAATGGCTGGCAGTGACAGGGGTACTGCGGCGTGACCGCCCAAAGCCAGGCGGCCAGGGGGCCGGGAGAGGTGGGGCGAGAGGCGGCGGGCGAAGCGCCCCAGGCGCCCGCAGGCGGCGGGCCGGAACAGCAACGTAGGGAGGAGGAAACGCTGCGCAGCCAGAACGAAGTGGCAACGCAGCCAGATGGCTGGCAGAGAGAGGGGAGTGGCGGCGACCGCCCAAGGCCGCGCCTGGGGGCCACAGGGCAGGGGGGAGGGGCAGGTGGCGGCGAGCGAAGCGTCCCAGGGTCCCGCAGGCAGCGGGGCGGAACAGCATCGCAACGGGAGGAGGCAGCGCGGGGCTGCCGCGGAAGGAGGGGGGCACCGAAGGGTGCGGAAGCCGGGTAGCAACACAAGGCGACCCAATGGGCGGTCCAGCGTGGCGCGTCGGAGAAGCACCGATATGGTGCAGAGGACAGTGAGTGAGCAACGCGCGCCCCACACGGGAGAGGTACGTCGCTAAGGGCGGTGGGGAGCACCGAAGGGTGCAGAAGCTGGGTAATGACGCCG